TTTTCGCAGTTCTATAGAACGTAAAATGATAGAAATATCTATCAAAAGTCCTGTAATTGAAATTCAAACAAATGTTAACTCCTATAATAAGATATGCTGGGCCATGTGCTTTCGTGTGAGTTCGCATTTTTATAAACGTCCCATGAATCGTAGTAAAACAGCTGATAATACTGCTTGAATTATTGTTTTTTAACAGTACTTGTGTAATTAATACATATGTAATTTTACATGTAGTCACAACGAAGCCCAGTTATTAATGGTAAAAACGACTTCCGGCTTCAAAACGAAAAACACAGCAATAGAGTTTATTCCAGCTGTGAGACTGAATTGTTTCTCATGTTTACTCGTTTCTCATGTAAATCAGATGAGACCAGATTCCATTGTTTCTGCCTCCTGTCATGGCTGCCATCACGTGATAACTCTATAAAGATTTTTCATATTTGTCTTCATGACAGAATTTATTGTCCAAAATTCTAATTATTTCAGGTAGAGGTAAAAGCAGTAAAAACATTTTTCGCTTTATTTTAGCGTTTTCGTGATAAAGACCTTGCAGTACGCATGTGCAGAACATGACAATATACCTTGAGCGACACGAGCGAAATACGTCTGCGCATGCTCGTATGCAAATTAGTCAAAATGTCTTTATGCTATTGAAACAATATGTAAAAATGTGTAAAAATGTGCCTGATAAATGCTTCAAAATTCTTACATAATATGCTTGTTACTACAATATCTTGGTGTCACAAAAGTATACTCGCAGATTTTTGTTTATACTCTGAGAAAACGAACAATCATTTTCTCACTCAAACTTTTACAGTTCCGTTTATTGACCACGAATAATAGTTTCCTGTTGAGGTTGGAGTTTTCGCGCATATCCGCAAACCTTTTATTATGCGCGACAACTCTAGCCTCGGCTTATTCGTGGTCACTGAAAGGGTTTTCTTAGAAAACGTGCTGAAAGACAGACATGAAAAGCGTCTGCGCATGCTCTGAGACCGTATGCGAATAGCGCAGCGCAGCCGTGACGTCATAAAAACGAAGACAAAACAAACTTACAAGTTTACTTTCAGCAGATAATTTTCGCAGCCGATCGCAGTTGATCTTAGTTTACATGGGTTATTATTGTAACTTTAAGTAAAAATAATAAAATGAGTTCGTATAATCCTCGTAGGGGTTAAACAGAATGCAATGTTTGTCCGAATCTTTAAGCTATTTTTAGAATCACTGCGCTGCGCTATTAGTCGAATTGTAAAAATATGTAAGTTTGACTCGCAAACATGCGTGACAAATGAACTTCACAAAATGCCAAAACGTAGACCTTATTGCGGTGACCGAGAGCGGACATAAAAAATTCCGCTAAAAAGTCAAAGCAGTTTAAGGCCACATTAAAAAGTAAGTTGGTCTTTTTGATCAATTTTCTTTTTGTCTTGAGTCTTTTTGTCACGAGACATTTTGACATTTGGTCTCAAGCGACTTGGTCACAAAACACTTTCACTTTAATGGACTTTTTGTCGTCCCTTATTTTAACATGAAAGACATTCGCCCTTGACGTTTTTCTTTTTGGCATCCGACATTTAGTCTTCGAGCGATTTGTCAAGCGGCCAAAAGAAAAACAGCGAATAGTCACAGTTAGATTCAAAGTTCCCAGGCGTAACAAAGGTTACCCACGCTATATTCTTCACGTGGCGATAGAGAGACTGATGATTTCCGGATTGGAAGAGCCTGCGGATTGCAAGAGCCTGCGTTACTTCTCGCCTGTGGTGAAGAACGAGTGCTCTGGACTTCCGGTACAAGAGCGCAAGCGTTCGAAAACGGAAACAGCGGAAAGCTGAAAGAGCTGAAAAGTGCAGAAATGTCATAAATTCAACCTATTTCTGTACTTGAATTCCTTTCATCACTATTATTATCCTGAAAGAGCTGAAAGAGCTTTGATTTTTTCCTTTATATACTATGCCGAGGAAAGCCAAAAACAACAACAACAGCAACAACAGCTATACATCTAGTAGCTCAGTCCGAGAAGCGCTTGACAACGTTTTCATGAAATTATCGATGCATGGCCACGACAATTATTATTTCGTTCCCGAGAAGGGTCTGACATTCTAAACAAAGATATAGTGGTTGATTCGGCTTTTTCATAAAAGTATTGGCCAACAAAGTTTGGATAGCCGAAGATTTTGCCTATTTGAGACCGCGACCAGCTGCCTGCACGGCCGTATGATGACGTTTCATACCTATAGTACCACAATCCTTTTCAAATTATCTTTTTATATACAAACGTCAAACCTCCTTTCTTTGAGAATTTGAAGACAAAAATAAAAGTAAAGCTAGAGAATAAACGAAGCTACTGAAAGGGACTGTCGTGGTATTTGAGGTGCCTAACTTCATCATGCAAAGGGTTTTGTACACTCAAAACATGTACACATGTCAAAATACCTTTCATTTAAATAAGCAACCAGTTTTTTTTGAAAACGGCGAATGTAGAAGGTGAAGGCAGGGCCATTTTATGTAAAAAATATGTTCCGTGAAAGAGTCCCAGTATAATGACAGGGCTTTAAACTGTCTTCGCAGTAGGCGAGCGACGTTATGTTGACCAATTAGCAGCCCGTTGCTAAGAAAAGGTGCTTGGTCTTCCAGAAAAAGTAACTTGATCAACGTCACAATATAAAATTGGACTTCTTAGTGGCTGTTCAGTATCAAAGAAATATTTTCAAAGCTGAGCAGCACGATAGAAGGCTTAACAAGAAATGTCTGTGCATGGGCTTTATTCAATTTTATTTATCTTCTAATACTATGTAGAAATTTTATTTTTTTGGTAAAGAGAATGCGTGACATTAACCTTGCTGGTCGGTCCATTGGCTGGTATCTCTGCAGTTAACATTTTTTTCCATTTTTGTTTAGTTTGACATTATTTATATTATATCATCTTTCATAATATTTGTCTACTGATTATAAGAAGCTCTGCACTTTTCAGCTCTTTCAGCTCTTTCAGCTCTTTCAGCTGTTTCCGTTTCAGCTTTTTACCGCGACCCAAAATGAAAATATATGTTCCCGATTTCTAATTTCTATTTTGATCGTAAGTAAACACATGGATTGTGCCAGAGCCCTTGTTCTTCGCTGCAGGCCAGAAGAAACGTGCGAGATTGGACTCTGTCATAATCTATTTTCGGCGCATGCGCAATTTTCCGGAAATGAAATGTATTCAATGAAAATCTTGCTTTGAAGCAGAGTTCTGTGTTTACTTGCTATCAAAATAAAGATTAGAAATTGGCAAGTCTGAATGCATGCGCTCTTATACCGGAAGTCCAAGCGGCCTGGTCTCAAAAATGGATTATGTATGCCAGATCCGTCGTCTTCGCCGCAGGCCAGAAGTAATGCAGGCTCTGGGTACGAGATTGACCGCACCGTACATACATTGAGCCCACCCTAATGTAGATGAAGGAGTGAATACTATTCACGGTGGTCACACTAGAATCACTTTGGTTCAAAGCTGGAAACACTTGTTCCAGTGCACTTTTCGTATTGTACTCTCTCCCATGACCTGGCATTCCTTGGTTAGTCATATTCCCCACCCTCCCTCCCTTGAGCTGTTTTGGTTCTTTGTAAAGCTCTGCTAGGTATACTTCATTTCTCAATCGCTGGGAGTACAGTTGGACCGCTGTGAAAAGAACACTGCAGTGACTGGTGAATTTAATATATAATTCGAAGACCCACTACACCAACCTCGAAACAATCCAAGAATGTTCCGTAGTTTTCTGTTGCCTCGAAGGAGAAAAACGATCTATTGTATAGTGTTTCTGTTGTTGGTGATCGTGTTATTCATTCGTGGTTTTAATCATCCGCGTCCTTTCCTATTTAGAGAACGTCCAAYTGTTCCAAGCGTAGAATACAACTTCAATAATATACCTTACGGACAACTGAAAAATGGAAGCTGCGCTTTACAGAAGAATGGTCAATGGAACTGTCCAGATATTCGTACTGAAGAACACAACACGCTTCGACAAATGCAACTGGTTATGATGCGAATGTTGTTGATGTTCGACGCGTTAGCGAAGAAATATAATCTAAGTTACTGGATTACACGGGGAACTCTTTTAGGAGCAGCAAGGCACCAAGGATTAATCCCATGGGATAGTGATTTAGATATTGAAATGCCAATTGAAGATTATTTAAGGTTTCTTCATAAAGGAGCAGAGGAGTTGYCGTCRGATACATTCCTTCAGCATCACCAGAAAGAGAAACAGTTCTTTCATTCCGACTACACAGACAGCGACATTTTGCATATTAACTCGCATCAAAAGCAAAAGCTTTTAGATATTTTAATAGTACCTTGGAATCCTCGATTCAGAGATAAAAAGAGTTGTTATAAAAACTGTCTGAAACCCAAATGCTCCTGGCATGATGGTCTTCAGATCGACATATACCCCATCGCTTTACAAGACGGGTATTATCAAGATCAGTTTATTCGATCCAAAGTAAAGAAAGCATGGCGTTTTATTGGTTGGATCTTAGGCTTCAACACTGGTGATTACAAAGCTTTCCCGCTGAGAGTGTTACGATTCGAGGGCTTTGATATATCTGTTCCAAATCAATGGGAGAAATTTTTGGGGAATGTTTATGGAAGGAATTATATGGATTTGCCTCCGAAAGAAAAACAGCGGTTTTATGAGAACCAGTTACCTGATCCAGTTCACGCTTGTTCAGAGTTCGACGAGAACGGTAACCTTCTGCATACTTCAAAAATATAGTCTACTATCCTATTGATTTGCCAGCTTTCAGTGGAAAGAGATTCAAACAAGAGAAGGAATCGGGCGTGGGTCGTTTGGAATTGTTTTTAA